GTAAATCCTTTGTCAGTGCCAGCCACGTGGATGAGTCACGGCCATTGCTTGGCCAATGTGCTCTCTGTGAAAGCCTGAGAGAATGTTTTCTCTCCGTGTGACTCTCCTTAGGCATACTCTACATCATCAATCACTTTCCTCTTTGGCCCCATAATCTCCTTGAGAAACTTATCTATATTACTGTGAAGTTTTTATTTTTTATTTTTAAAATTTTTTCCCATAATTTTATTAAGAAACAAACAGCAATGAGACAGTTTCAAACCAAATTGGTAGGACAGTTTCAATAATTAACACATTGCATACATTATAAGATTACGTTTTTAAAAGTATTTAGTATTAAAACATTTTTTTTTCCTCAAAAAAATGTATCGTTGCTGGGATAGTGGTACATGCCTATAATCTCAGTTATGCTGGAAGGTGACATGGAGGATCATGAATTTAAGGCCACACTGGCCAATTTAGTAGACCCTATTTCAAAATTGCCTGAAAGAGCTGGAGATGTAGCTCAGTGGTCCTGGATATACCCAGTACCTTAAAACAAACAAACAAAGTAATATTACTCATGGCACTACTGAATCATGGAACTGAGTTACCTTTCTTAAACCTTTTAAAACTAATGAACAAGTACCGTATACTTTCTGTTTACAGAGAAAAAGCTACACCTAGCCTTTAAATAGGACAGTGAGGATTCACAGTACAATATGTATTTTTTTTCCTGTATTTAGGATAGGGTCTACAGGGTCTCACTATGTAGTTTGGGCTCATAGTGATTCTCCTATTTTTAGCTTCCCAAGTGCTGGGATTATAGGCATGTGCCGTCAAGCCCAGTCTCAATCGCTGTCTCAGGGTGTGCGGGAGCGGAGCTGGCAGAGCAGACCTAAGAAGGCACTATAGTCTGCTGAGCTATCAGGCCGGCCCTACAATATGGACTTTAAAACAAGAAACATTAGGTAAGAAATCAGTTCTACTTATGTCCATCAATGTTGAAAGCTCCTGGTTTCCCAGGAAAACCAAGAGCTTTCAACATGACATATTCTTTAATGGTCAAGTTGGATACCTTTTATTCTGTATTTGATAATAAGCAACAAATACAACAAAATGAAAGGTTATCATCTTTACAAACTTTTTTTTTCCTGTTCATTCCAAGTACTAGTACAATTATCTCCCAATGTTCTCAACCTTTCCACTGGAACATTGTTTTTTTTTGTTGGTGGTGTTGTTTTGTTTTTCCTTTAAGTCAAGGTCTCGCCATGTAGTTTAGGCTGGCCTTAAACTCAAACTCACAGTGACCCTCCTGCCTCAGCCTATGAGCGCGCGCCATCATGCCAGGCTTAACACTGCAACATCTTAATTTTGGATAATCACCAAATTCTGTTAAGTGTACTCTTTTTTTTTTTTTTTTGTAGATTAGTGGTTACTCAGAACTGGGAGTTTTAGGGGATAAGGAGAATGACTACTAATGGATTTCTTCTTGGGGTAATGAAAATGTTCTAAAATTGACTGTGGTAATGGTTGTACAACTCATTATACACTCTAAATGGGTGATTATATTTGAATAATGTTATTAAAAAATAAACACATGAGTGAAGAACAATGTCTGGTTATATAATCATGTAATACAGCTAAAGAAGCTAATTAGTGAGTCAAATATTTAGAGAATAAACTTCGCCAGTTCAGACTTCCCAAGAAAAAGTTCAAACACACATACACAGGACTGAGAACTAAAAGACTGCTCTTGAGTTACTAGCACTCCCTGCTCAAGGAGCACCACTAAGTCTAGCTACTGTTCCTGATATTTTTTTAAATTCAAAGATGAACTCATCACATAAAAATGTAACTTTTCCCTTTTATTTTTGCGGTTTCTTCCTTCACCACTAAGCAAAGGGCTAGACTGCTAGGGATTCCAACAATGTTCCAGGGTTGCTGCTGTATCATGGTAGAAATCAAGTACTCCAGGATCTGGACCTCAGGTATACAAGTTCAAAAAGCTTCTTTGATCCCTTTCACCAAGTATCATGCTCCTTAAGCCTAACTCATACTAATCAAATCCCCAGGGCACTAGTGGATAAACCCAAATGTCAATTTATTTATTTATAATGGTGGCCCAACATTTCTACTAACTGAACACCAGGGTTTTTGGAGAACCTCATCTAGAGATATTTTTTTCTGGTCTAAAAATCGGAATGCTTAGTGTGACTTTAAACAGAGGGATCTAAAAGGTCTGAGAAAAAAGTTCAATTTAGCTGAGCACAGAATTGTTAATTATTTCTTCTCTATCTTTAATAAAAGCACCCTTTTCTAATGACTATTTATATTTATCTTGCTTCCAAAAATGCTAAACAGGGCTGGCAACACAGCTCAGCAGAGTAAGTGTCTGCTCTGGCAAGTGCAGGGACCACAGTTTGATCCCCAGTCCTGCATGCCACGCCAGCTCTTCCCCCAGGGTGTACTGAATGGCCAACTGAGTCCAGGTGTGGTGGCACACATTTGTAATCTCAGTGCGGGGGAGGCTGAAAACAGGAGGATCACTATGAGCCCAAGCTGCACAGTGAGACCCTATACCAAATACATAAAAATAAATAAATGCTAAACAAAAATTATCAGAATTCTTTTCTTAAAAAACAAGTTTTAGTATCCAAAAAGAACAATTTACTCCTTGGCATATTTCCTGTCAGTCTTTTCTTCTAAGTATATTTAAAACACAATTCAACTCCTATTGTTTATCTTTTTCTTTTCAGTCAACATTTTAGGATTTTTATGTTCTTTATCACTTCTTTCCTCATTTTTCTTCTTCTTCTTCCCTTTTTTTCTTTTTTGGTACGAAAGACTGAACTCATGACCTCATGCCTGACAGGCAGGTGCTATACTGCTGAACTATATTCCCAGTCCTCTTATGTTCTTCAAAACATGTGACTAACCATGATGCGATTATATTATCTTTGTTTATTATCTTTTGGTGAGGAATTTAAATTGCCTCCACCTTTTTGATTCTGTAAGTGAAGGAATGAAATATTTCAAATAATGTTTGAAACTTTTCCCGGTGTAGACTTTTTCCTTGGCACAGTTTCTCAGGAGTACAAACATCAGGTCAAATGTTATAAATATCTTTATGGCTCTTGAGAAATATGGCCAAATTACTTTTTCAAAGATTAAGAATTTATACTCCCAACAGCAATATACAAAAATGCACACCCTTGGCAGTAAGCTTAAATCTTAATAATTAGTGAATTAAAACATGAAATTAATGCTTTCTAGTTTGATGTAGGTACTGAAACATCTTTGGTCTTGCCTTTAGGCGTTCCTGCAGTCTTGAACCAGGGAAACTGCCTACTTAGGCAGCCTGATTCTGAGCGCATCACTCACACCAACTCTCATTTAGTTTTTCATGGGCTATGGATCCACCTCCATCAGTCACCCAGCAAAGAGCAGTTCCAGCTCTTACCTAACAGCATAATCCCTCAGTGCCTGTTGTAATGGGTCAGTCAGAAGGCCAGCAGGCAGGAGAGGCCTTTCCATTAGGAGGAGCATCTATTTTTTTCCCCACAATTTTATTGATAAACAAATAGCAATGAGACAGTTTTAAACCAAATTGGTAGGACAGTTTCAATAATTAACACATTGCATACATTCTTCCTAGTGGTTAATTGCTGTACAAGATGTGGACTTGATATCCTATTTACAAACACCATTAGAACAAATCCCTCTATTCATTAAGAGAATGTAACTATATATCTATCCTAAACACTTTGAATACACAGATACAAAATGGACATTCATCTGTATCCACTTCTTTTTTCAATTCACATGTCATTGTAATATTTAATATTTAATAATCAGTGTTCATAAATAGCTTTGTCAGAGTAGTTTTCCTTTATACTCTTTGTCTAATCTGACTTATTTGTTATATTTCTACTTTCTACTGCCTTTTCAAAATAAAATCCTTGTTTCAATAATAAGATCTATTTTTGGCCTGTTGGTACTTCATTATGATGTTTAAGATTTACATATTTAAATAGAAATTTACCTTATTACTTTTTTTCTCCAAGTTTTATCCCTTTTTCTTTATAGTTACAACTCCTGGCCACTTCCCATTGTGAATAAACAGAGATATAGATATACATTGTTGACACATGACCTATGCTCAGATGTGATGGTTGGTAGGTGACATTGCATTGAGCGAAATATGAAAGGGCCACTTAGATCAGTACTTATTTAAAAGAAAAGATCCTCTCTCCTTCCTGTTATTTAGCCAAGCATTTACTGTGGAGATTTTAAAAATACCTGGTATTAGGGCTTCTGTCAGAAAGTTGATGGTCATATACACATATCTAGAAAGCAAACAGTTCAAAGTCAAAGGGCATAACTCAATGCATT